TTCAATACACCAATGGAAAGGGCGACATACCAGGGTTGTGATAAATAGAAAATATGACATGCACTTACAACTTACTACCTGTTCAAAAATGCAATAACGACACAAAATTATGCAGATGTGATTTTCAAAGTTAATACCCCGTCAATCTTCTTAGTATAACAAAGCATCTGTTTTCTATTTGTCTTGTTTGTTCCACCCTATACATGTAGATTCAAGGTATACCTAGCGATTCAAAAACGATGACCACAGTAGTGTTTTTGTTGGCAACATTAGGAAAGAACGAAACAAACCTGACGTATTTGAACCATAAATCATCTACATACAAAACAGAAGTGAATGCATGAAAATATATAATTAGAATCACTTCAAGATTTATAATAAGCAAATTTAATCGTCAAAAACAGAATCGATAAGGAGCATTCAACCATTCAACATATGATTTTGCCAAGTACTATCGTAGATAGAAATAAAAATTCTGCGTCTCCATGTCCTGGCTGTATCCATCTTGATCCATCAAGGTATTACATGACTAAAGGAATATATGAGTTCAACAGTATGTGTGGTATCTGGTGAAGTGTGATTTTCGTAGGCCTGGTTATCCGATATCATGAAAAAAGAGTGTCGCGGGTTTCATGGAACATGTAAGATCATTTTGATAATTAATTAGAGTAAAATGATGACTCTTAGAGTATCAAAATCAGGTTATATTGGGGGTTTAACTGAGATGCATGTGTGACCCCTAAGTTCAGGTTTATCGCACACATTCAATGACAACAATACCAAAATCAACACTGACACAGTTAACCTTTTCGTGCAATTCAGTGTTTTCAAAAAGGCAACTCGTTGTACTTTTCGAAAAGAATGACTACAGTTTCAACATAATCGCATTTCTTTTATATAATTTCACAAAAAATATGTAAATAAACTTTCACGTTGTAAAATGTTCCTTTATAACTGAATTTACAAGTGTGAATGGAATTTCGGGAACCTATTATTCCATTATTTGAAAGACTATTGGTTTCTCTGTATGCGCTTACACTTCTAAAATTCAGAATATTGGTTTTAAATTCATCTCTTCGACTCTTAGTTTCTTATGATCTTTGTTCTTTAATTATTAAAGTAAACGCTAAAACATAAACGCTTCATATGCTTTGAAGTTTAGTATTTCGTTCTGTCGACCCGCACCTGTTATTCTAATCTGCTTTATTTTATTACTAGGGATGTGCACAAATTTAATATCAACCTCAAATATTACCCTAGGTGGATATAAATGAAGAAGATGGGCTAAAGATTTCAAGCGATTCTTACTCTGGATAAGGATATCATTATCTACCCGAATGATGGACGCTATCACACCTGGTGCGTTCATAGCTAGCCTGGGTTATGTTTTCTTTAGTGTAACTACTTGAAGCTATTCTGATTCTACCTGTTCTACACCGCCATTTGTTATTCATTTAAAGAAGCATTAACTTTCCATAACATTTCCTGGTTATATCGGTGCCATATTTCTGTGGGCGGGGTACCACAGTACACACCTTTGTATAGCACAGTTCCGTATCGTTGGGCACTAGAGTGGTACTTCGGGCGTTGTAAATCCGTTCCGGTCGTCTTCTGGGCGGATTAACACGTGTCCTTTGGGCCTTGACTCCCCCTCTAGGAGTCTGCGCGAAATAAATCAACAGTTTTACTATTATGAGCTTTTTTCAAAGTAAAAATGACACACAAAAGTCTTATTTTTTCTTGCTTGGTACGTGTTGTACATTAGCATAATGTTCTAAATGCATTAGGCCCCGTATAATCCACTAACGATTAGTGGACAAAAGAGTCCGCAAAAAGCACAATTTGTAAGTGTGCCGTTTTTCTCCATATATGAACTCTAATTCTAAAAAGAAATTTTTGAACATTAATTAAAAATTAAAACAATGACGTTCAATTAGCTCTACAATAGCCACATCGCAGTACGTGTCATTCATGTATCCAGATTATAAAATGAATTTAACATAGTTTGTTGGTTTTCAATAAACCTCTATTGTAAATGAAGCATTATTCATTGCTCTGTCGTGTCTTAGCTCTATTAATTTGAGCTTAACTTTTGTTTTAATTTACTCGAGTCAAATTGGCCTATAAAATGATTGAACCAGAATAATGTTATAGTTTTTTTTATGGGCGAGGGTATACAATATGAACAGTGGTAAAATGAAACTGACCCTTGGGGAAGCGTGACGAAGACCCCATATAATCTACCCCGTGACTAGCGGAGGTTTCATTAGAGGGACAGTAATGAGCTCGAGTCCCCCTTTATGGAGGTGACACGTGACCTTATTCAATCACATCACCTGTTGAAGGAGTGTTGTATATATACCAACAAGATATATAAATTGCATTATAAAATGATAATTGTTTCAGTATAATATCTCATTTCCCATCAGCTTATTGGTAATTAAGGTTAATTAAATAGGTGATGACACTTTCAACTATCTTTTGTATGTGGTCCACCATAAAATGGGAATTATTGGACTAACAATTGCAGTGCCCACTTAACATAATGCACATAGTGGTCCAAAAGCTTTCGAGTATTCTTGAATCTGTCACTTCTTATAGAATTTAAGATTCCTGAATAAATCGATTACTCTTCCCGTATCACTTGTATTTTGCTCTCAAATGAACATCTTAAAGTTAAAATGATCTCGTTTTTAGTTGATCTTCATTTATCACTGACACACAACATACTGTTAACCCCACCCTTATTCATTCCCTGTTTTATTGCATTGAGTAAGCGCACGGCGGAAAACAATTATGTGTACTTATTAAAACTGTGAACAGATTAAACAAGGTCAAACTTCAAATTTAAATGGCACCACCATCTCATTCCGAAATATCATATATCAGTGCTTGTTTGATATTGATTAAATCAAATCCCGACCTTCTTATCTAAAAGCATTTATAACTGCATAACATTTATTTTGAAAAAGTTTATATATAAAGATAAATATGTTTTCCATACCAGTGGTAAGCAGTGTACCCATTAGGATACGCAAATCGTGAATGTTCATCGTAGGTGAAGTTACAGCTAGATGTTTGTTATGACGTAACGTGAATAAATCAACAGCTGCAATATACTACATAAATAAACACAAACTTATATTTTAAATTGATAAAATACATAAATAAAATCATTGTTTAGTAAATAATATTGTTTCACCTGGACATCAACATTGCCATAGTGTGATCTGTAGCAAAGCTGAAACCCCATGAGCAAATTTATACGATTTATAAGACTAGTTTTTTTGTGAATCTATAAACGAACAACTTCCACAAACTATCAAGAATTTGTTTGAATTTAATTGTTTAAATAAATACCACAATTCCCGAATTCATTAGCCAAAATACAACTAATAATAGAAAGATGCATTCTGATAGCCATCATATGTTTCTAGTTCACTAACATCTCAAGACTGATAAGAAATAGGATGACATGGTCAATCATGATGGAAAAACGTTGTTTACATGAAACAGTGAATGAGCTTTACACTAAATTAGTTTATTCGAATAGTGTACAGCAATACACCCTGGCTGATCCCCGAGTGTATGCTCCCTCTCACCCAAAGGCATTCTTTTCTAAACATGCTGGTCTTTATACCCACGATCCGAAGAAAAACAGGACGTACGTCAAATTCTTTTCGTCATTAAAATGTGCATATGACAATGTGATTATGTTTTTAATTATTTTTGTGAAAATACTAAATGCTAATTCAAAATTAAGGATTAAAATCAAGTATCAAACCAAGCGAAAATAGAGGAGATGGCTCGAATGAGGGTAATTTGATGTATTTATGATACGATTCATCAAAAATTGAAAACAAAAATATACAATTTTCCAGTTGCTTGGTGATTTGATGGCAAAGGAAGATTTATATTAGATACAATTAAAGAATAGTTCAGTGATCATTTTATTTTATAATTGATTTTAATCTCCACCTGATTGTATTTATATCTTCCTAACAATGGCCACCATTGTGAAGTCCTTCCATTGAAGTATACTATCATCCATTTGAGATTACATTTCAACAGTTTCATATTTTGTGGCCAGTACAATTACAATGGGATGTATAACTTTCATGAAATGAATCTTATAATAATCAACGATGACCATGAGGTTTTGTTACACACTGTCTAAAGACCTATTTTTAGAAAAAATGAAACAGCTGGGTCGAGCCCAGATACACCAGTTATATAAGTTTGAAACTGTATGGGATTTTGTTCGGACGGAATTAAAGATAGGGACGTAACCTTTTTAATCCTTTTTGTGTTGCTTCAATATTGATAACATTTCAGTGTCCTTTGCAAGAGATGCTACGTTTAAGGACATAGAATATGCATTAAAAATATTCCATGGACGTTTATGGCTCACTCATCTCATGGTCCGTTCTCCTCTGGACGATGCATCTACGGATTTATGGGCGTTTTGGCTTGGGATGTTTCGATTTTGGACCATGTGGATTTATGGTTTAGTATAGTTTCTATAGATGTGTTTGCATTTGCTTTCCTGAACATGTCACTCATATTTTCTGGTATATGTCCAGGAAAATTTTCATCCTTTCCGATTACCTTAAGGGTAAATACCCGTTCTGGGTTACTAAGCTCAGCATTTCAAATTTATAACTCGGGCATTCTAAATTTCAGCTCTACTGGGGTGGAATGAAATATGGAAAGAAATTAGTTTTGTTATTCTGTTACAATTCATTTCTACTCTGGTCAAGTGAGCTTAAGTTATACAAATATTTTAATAAATCTAACTCCAATGTACAATTATAATCAATGACTGTCAATATTTTCAAATGCAATTCAATTGACTGATCCCGATTGGTTAATTATGTCGTCTGCCACTTGATATCAGCGCCTGTGATTGGTTAACATCTGAGGACACACGAGCGTGTGTTTACCTAAAGGAGGGGGAGTATATAAGGAAGGCACGTGGAGGATTGCTTACACACGCGTTCATCGGAACACGCAATCATCACTAACACCCTCAATAAGCAATATCACCAGTAGAACGTTGTCCAGAGTTATGGAAAACTGGTGGGATGAATTCAGCTTCGGCAGCCCGGTGTCAGACGACATCGCTATGTTAGGAACGCAATTTGGAAACACATCATACACAAGCGACGAGCCGGACTCTCCTAGCGCTGGATCAACCGGTTCAGACTGTGAAAACTTAGACTTTAGCAAAAATTGTTCTAACAGACTCAAAACTCACCAAAAATACAAACAAAATAAAAATCCATTAAAAAGAGTAATCCAACGACAAGCAGCAAATTGCCGAGAAAGGAAGCGGATGAAAACTCTCAATGACGGTTTTGAAAAGTTACGTGATCACATACCAGAAGCCAGTATGGACAAAAAACTCTCTAAAGTGGACACTCTGCGGCTTGCCATCCAATATATAGATCAACTGCAGTCCATGATCACCGTTTTTGATGACAGTTCTGAAGGCGGAATGAAAGATACGTCATCAGAAAATAAAAAAGTCATAATAAGATGCCACGCAACAAGTAAGTATAATATTGATGCTTTTAATTTTTCAATTAATATTCTTTATTAAGACTTACGTTTTGCCCCTACGATTTGTTTCAAAATAAAACGGACAAAGGGCAATATTCGAAGAAACAAACAACGTCAACCTATAAAAAATCACATGGACTATATTAAACGTTTTCTTGCAGGTATTATATTCATTGAGGTTTTCAAGGCGTCCAATTCGTGCAAAAGCGATTTGTTTATGCAACATCATGCCATGTACATTATTAATTCCCCTATTGATAATTATGGTTTTGATCACTTCATGAATCAATGACAATGTGTAACTTATTAATAAAAAGTATTATATTACCATAACAGAAGAAACTTGAAAAATAATGCTATCATAAATAGCTCACCCCTATAACAATTAGTCAGTGTGATGTTCTTGATAATATCGGCCTCTTTACAAAAAATATGTGTTTAACAAGTACATTTACACCCTCTTGAATCTTAATTAGAAACAACAAGTTGAAATGTGATAGTGAAGATGATGTACAAATTATCTATTTAATTGTATTTTTATATTGGTATAATGCAGAGTTGCATGCTGCACATAGACTCTGCTCGTGTGCGACAACGTACATTGGATGTGTATTGTACACGCACGTGGCCTAAGCCCGCATTTGGAAAAACTGCCAAATAAAATGCGAAAGCATACAGAAATGTAATCAACTCTCTTAACATATCCTACCGTAACAACTGATCAATCAACGCTCAAAACAAAATGTCTCATTACAACTTAATCAAATACATATAAGCAACCATCATTTGGCAAAAAAGTACTAGAACTATCTCATTCTTGAATACTACCCAAACGAAAAAATATGAGTGTTAAGCTATTGATCTTAATAGAAAACGGGCGCTTGGGATTCTTTTGGAATCGTTCGTTCAGGAACGCCTGTTTTGTTGTTCTGTCCCTGTTCAAAAGCTACTAGTAGTTGGCTTGAATAGAGCTTATTACAATATCATTTCCGAACGCCTAAGAAAGTATGATTGTCCTCACGTGTTATCTACAAAACAAAACATTTAAGATCATACATGTAGAACAACCTCATATTCTTGTAGCCAACATATGTAGACTTTATTTTATCATTGTTCAAATTCAATAAAATTAAATCAAATTTTTAGTTTGCTTTGAAGAAAGTGTTAAGTGGCATTTATCTGGATGTAACAATGATCAGAAAATAATTATCTACAAGTAAATGAGTGGCCTCAAGAACCAGTAGACATGTCAATATAGTGTTTCTTTTATCTTTATGTCCTTTCGCCAACACTTATAACAAGCCACAACTTACTACGTACAACAATACTATGTGTCCAAAAATCAAAATACCACGTGTTTTCAATTCATAAAAACAAGATATTACTGACACGAAGTCACCAATTAATATCACTTCAATATTAGATAACATTTTATTCACTTATAGCATTACTTACACCAATAAGTAGGCTTGAGTAGACGTAATGATATTTGAAGTGCTTTGATTGATGAAACCGGCACGAGTCTCCAATTGAGAATCTGATCTTATCCCCTTTGGTATCAGTTCTGGAGAGGGGGTAGTATATTACTTCTCTATTATCTACAGATTACTGTCCCGTTCTATCACTGCAAGAAGACAAATGGATCCCCAACAGACAGTCTCAGATAGCCTTATCAAAATATAGCACCTTAAGATTTCATCCTACTTCACAAATTATTTATTTAAAATTAAATTAAAAATAAATGACAGCTGATGTGAGGCGAGCCACACGACCATAATCGTCGAGAGGTAAAAGACCCCTTCACGTTATCTCGATAATAATAATTCCCAAAAGAGTGAAACTTTCTATAAGTCTATGGGTCAAAAAGCACAACTCAAGACGTCTTTGTGTATCTTGTTTTGCCAAACTAAATTAATCATTCATGTTTGGGATTTTTGTATCTGTTCTTGAACAAATTTAATTGATATTTCACAGAGGAGTTGATCCTTTTAATTATATACATACACAAACAGAGGGTATCTAGCCTTTAATAAGTGTGCCTCGTGGCTAGTTTTGGTATCATTAATTGTCAAAGCTTGTTTTTGCTTGAATAACTATCAGTGTGCACCCAACAACTCCATTAGCTTATTTAATTCTATTCAAGACGCCTCTAATTCATAAATAATACCGCACAAATTTCTGCCTCTTTAACCATAAGATACCTTGGGGAAAGATCATGTAAATCCAGTTTGAGGCTCTCAAAGGCAAATCAAAGAAAACATCAAGGCATACCAAACTAAAGACCAATACCCTAACTACCGTAAACAATTTGTTTTAAACATCGGAATTACATTAAGAAAGTAGAAATTACATAATTTCACAAATTTCTATTAATTGAAATCACCCAACTAGCACATGTTAACTTGATTACATCCAATTATATTACACAATGCATTTTCTTATGTTTTTCTTATATGTTTTTGCAGATACTGATGGATACCATAGTCACGATAGCCCCTTATATGGCCACTCTCTTTCCTGGTCAAACATAACCACCCACACACCAGATGAAAATAATAGACTAAAAGCTAAATTATGGACCCCTGAGTGCTCAGTGCCAGAGACATATCAGATACAAGAGTGCAATTTCCGAGACTTGCTATGAATGACGGCAAAGGGACATGTGCAATAAACTACAATCAGCATTCATTCATCCAAGACGAGATGAAAAACAATGACGTCATAACTGCTCAATATGTTAAAAAAAGCGATAACTATGATGTATTTGCAATGTTCCAATACATTATATATTATTTACATAGAACCAAAGTTGTAGAGACAATCAGCGAATTAAAAGTCAGTGTTCAGTTCACTAAACAGAAAATGTCAGGTGTGCTTTCTTTTTGTACAATAACTATTTCTCACCATAATTACCTATCCTTCTTGCCTGCCTCAATGATCTTTTAAACAACAAAATTGCGCTTTGTAGTTCAACTTTAATTGGTGTAATTACAAGTAAAATCTATTAACAGTGATCCACACGCAAAAAATAAAAACTATGTTTAATAATTAAAATATGTTTTGTGGGGAAACGTTCTGTTTCATTACAACGATCTTGTAATTAGTGGTCAACTTGGCTGGAGAGTGCAATTTGTAAATATATTACAGTATAAAAAACAGATGATAATATATTTTGTATTCAAATTAGAGAAATTATATAAGAATATTTAGTGCTATGTATTTCTTACAAACAAATGTACATATCTTGTTCAAATCATAATTGTGTAATTATGTGATTCTACTTGCAATTCCATGTTATTCTATTGTAAATACATAATAAGCCACTATTATTTTACTGTTTGTATCATATGACCAAAATGTGTTCAATTTTACATGAGCATTTTTATATTTTATTACAGAAACACGCAAAGCCAAATAAATGTTAAAATGTACGAATATAAATGCCTGTTTTGTTGATTGTAGAACTCCACGAAGTCACGTGTGCATTCCGTTTCATTCTTTTATATTAAAAATACCAATCTTTTATATGGTAGTCAAAAGTATTTAGGTTTCCTGAAACAACAGTATTGTTTCTTAATTTATTATACGTATATGCTGAAGCAATTGAGGAGCTTCTTTTGCAATACATTGTATTGATATAAATAAATAGAGTAAATAAATTGTAAAGAGAATAGTATACTAAGAATACCATAATGTTAATGGTTCCTGAATTGAATGGACGATTGACACTGAACCCTTTATACATTTTAAAACTGTTAAAGTCACGTTTTAAAACTGCCGAAGTTTCCTTTTAATAATCCCAGTCCATGTCCCTTTCGACAGTCCATTTCTTTCTTTAAAAACCGTTTGGGATCTTCTCCGTTGAGTTCATGTATTTGTTTGAGTTATAGATTTTATCTTTGCATGTGCCATCTATACAACCAACAATATGGTATACTTTTATCGGTCATTTACAGAATTATCCAATATAGAAGTAGATTATAATTATAATGATTTTTATTGAGATAATATGACAGCTTTAACATGTATAAATAAGTCAAAACAAACATTCAGCTGCAACTTCTCCTAACATGAACATTTGTTAAGCGTAATCATAACGCACAATCAGTATTAACACTGGTAGGGAGAACACGCAGAAAACAGCAAAAACGCCTTAAATTAATGTGTTTGAAATGTTATATCCATCACCTGTAGTATGACGTTCACTACCATTATGATTGAAGAGACAAAGTGCAACGTCGAGAAAATAAAAAATAAAAATCCCAAAAAACCTACCATCGTCGCTTTCCACGCTGGGTCTAATGGTAGAAACAACTGAAACTTTGAGAATCAAGATGAAACCTTCACTACAATACTCAAATAACCAAAATGCAATGCAATTCGAGGATGTTGAGAAAATTCCTGTCGTTGAAAATGCAACTGTCGTGTATGAATAACCTCAATACATTTAATAGCTGCCCTCTACATTATGATATTGTTTAATAAGAGCCGATGGTCAACGGTATCTTCCGTTTCATTTATCTAAATATGTCAACTTGATGGACATAATTTTGTGGGAATTATAATTGAGACTATCAAGCGACAATTACCTATTCTCCTTGAGATATTAAACAAAATCGAGCAGAATGATGTTTTGGTCAGGCTAATAATTGACATTTTAAATGTTATAGTATTGGACATTAACGCGTGAATATGTCCAATTATGAGCAGTATGGACACAAATCAATTATCAGGTGTTTCAATTAAACTTTCCTGACAACTTTGTCTGTCGTTAAAATTGACTTTAGAATAGAAGAGATTCACGCTTTCTAGTTACTATATATGTATGTATGCACGCCAAAGGGTAAGGACCAAAAATAAAATGTAAACATCTAAGAATACACCAGCCGCAAGGAAAACAAACCCCTCCAATCCTAAACAATAATCCAACGTAAAAAGAAACAATGTCCAACACACCGTTCTTCCAACATCCAAGACCATAACACCAAGGGACATTTCATTCATACTGAAGTTATTACAATACATGTTGAAGAATAAGTTTTAGATTAATAAGCGATACTCTTAACATCAAAAATAGTTGTAGATTTTTCTGTGAATAATTAGAAATGATTATGAACAACACATACCATGGAAATTTAAGATGAACCATTAGAAACTTTAAAACGATTTATAAAGGTGACTCTATAACAAAACCTTAAAAAGAGCAACGATTTTGGGTAGCACTATACAATACATATAGTGGTAGTGTATATATATATAGATCTGCCATCATACACATTAATAAATACCTTCAAGTGAGAGTCTATAGGGGCACGGAAATGTCAAATGAACTTAAACAGAATGCGTTTAAATATTTATGAACTATTGTGATGCAACTGAATTATGCAACAAAGTAAGAGAGGATGTGTCACCTGCCTCTTTAGTCACGTGACTAAACATTTACTAACTTTCTTTACACACTACAGTTGAATGGTTTATAATGGTTCAATATATACATAAAATGAGAGGTTAATCGTTGTTAATAGTTTAATTGCTGTATTTGGTGTATATCCTGACAATTGAAATGAAAACAAGTAGAAAAGAGACGAAAGGCCTACCATTTTAACCCCAAACTTGATCCAGCAATTTATTTCATACAACTATAGAAATACTTTTGTATAACAGTAAATTCCGATTTAATTTGGGTCCTTCTTTCAATAGATTTATTAAGCGATCCGATCAAATTACAGATATTTTCCATATTATTTTATAGATGAGGGTACCGTTCGTAACGGACTATACTTTCTTTTTAACATCATTTAGAATATTTATATATCTAACCACAGAGCAAAGAGGAAACAAAAGTATTAAAAATACAGAACTTTAGAAAATGGGTAACTGGTATTGAAAACTACAAATGTTTATAAGGAAACAAACCCCAGACTAAAACAATGATTGGACATATATAAGGAAAACAGTGCTCACGCCCTTTCCCCAACTATACAGGTACCAGTATCACAGCCAAGCCCAACAAACTATGGTACATATCAGTCACACTGAATTCATGTTAAATTCAAGTCTCAAATTCCATATAAATGTGTCAAAAGGTCAACTTTGGATCACTCAACCCCTAGATCTATTCAGATGTTATTCAATTTGTGATATCTGGTATTTCGATTGAATATTGAATACTGAAAGTTGATGGGAATATAGTGACGCTCTTCGTCTGTCCGTCTGCCCAGGCACTAAGTCATAAGCCTATTGGTGACGTAAAAATGGCCGCCACCTTGAAAAATGATGGAATTCATTAGTTTGTATCTAAATCGTTCATTTTTAACTAAAGTAACAGCTATAGAAACGGATATATATAAGTAATTGATTTTGTAGAATGTACGTAAAATGATCTTATAAAACATATATTCCAAAGTTTTTTATTTAACTTAATTCCAAATTCCACATTACTGAGATACAGTAAAATCTGTCGTAGGAATCGCCTTTTTCTGGTGAACACCTGTCTCTAGTAGTCACCCTTCCTCATCACATACTCTACTAACTTCTGTAAAAATTAACCTCTCTGCAGTGAACACCTACCAACACTGAACGTTTTCACGGCAAAAATATTTTCGCATTTTTTATTCAGATTTGATCCCAAATTGATACAAAATGGCAATTTTTTTCATCTTGAAATATTGAAAATGAGAATCTTGATTAAGCATCGTGGATTTATGCTACTCCGAGAAGTTGCCGTTTTGTAGTTTTATTTCAACCGTAGCTGCAGATGTGTGAATGTGAAGGTAATGATATAATTGTATAAAGTTAATATACAAACAATACAAATCAAATACTAGGAATTTGACGTGTGCATGGGCAAGCAATATGAGAGCTATTGGCAACAATGTGCAAAAAACGGTGCAATTTTATTTTAAAATATCCAAGGTATCGGTTTTCTTGTATGGATACAATTGCATGCAGGAGAGTTTAAGACAAAAGAAAAAATGTTACAGATGCTTCGAAGACAGCGTTTGTTCCTTCCATTCTACATAAATAAACACTTAATGGACAAAACGCCACCAGTCGTATTATGTGCCAATATTTGGTAATGCAAACGCAGACACATGCTTCTATTTCGGCAGAACAAGAATTGGAACAGAGTTTTATTTACTCTTTGGGAATAAGACAGGAACTATATAACACCTTGAGCCAAGGCCCCTTCTTTGTGTAAAACAACATACAAATGCTACAAGCAATGTACGCATTATCCAAAATTAACCGCTTTTCTGAAGTTCATTATACTTCTATGTTAACCTTTCTTTTAAACCAAGTGCGCAATTGATGGATTATTACCAAATTATTTAGATATTGTATTGGTCGTTGTGAACAATTTGTAAATAAACATGAAGAACTTGTACATAGCTAACAGGGAAAGCTGTGTTTGCATATTGAGACGCAAACGCGTTGTGGTATCTGGTAGTAAGGGTTGTAAGTCATCCGGGGTAGGCGACGCGCGCCACTGCAAGCACAGAAGCAGCTACCAACACCCTCTGTTGACCGACAGCGTACAACAATCCACAAACGCACTTTGCAAACAAAATCACAACCCGATGCGCCATCAAGGAAATGTCGTAATTAAATCTTAATGATTACTTTATCAAATAATATTCAAAATATTGTTGAAATAACTAACACTTGCCCTTGAAACATACGCTCCTAGTATTTCTGATTCATTATCAGATGGAATTTGTTTTTGTAACATAATAGGTGGAATTGTGTTTTTGCTCAATAAAATGTAAGTATCTGTGAAGCAGGTGGTGGCGACCATATGGAGTAACCACCAAGAACATGCCAAACCCCCTTTCATTCAGACCATAGTAGTTGATATTAAGTCGAGAAAACACTCTCCAATGGAGTCAAGTTTTGATTGAAAATATATTAGGAACATATGAACTGAAACAATGAAGCTACCTAGGTATCCATGCTGTTCAGTCTAAACCAAAACAATTGCAAACGTTGCTTATTGTCTTTATTAATGCAGATCTGCCCATTTTTCTTGACAAATTACTTCATATTCGATCTGGTATTGAGAGAACTTCATTAAGTCATGCTGACTTGCATTGTCCTGCGAGGTCAATCGAATACTATATACAACATCATAGCATGTAATTTGTTTGCATACTGTCACAGTCAAAAACATTTTGTACTTTAACAAAAAAACAAATCGTTAAGCCTTTGTGAACACGCTTGAACATATCCGTTTTTGGTTTTCAATCTTGTTGATAGAAACGGAGATAATGATCAAGCAACGTTTCCTAAGTTTCCAAAGTTTTGTCTGTTTCAGACTCTTTTGTCTAATATCATTCCCTGTTACGTTTTTCTAAATTGAAACCAAATAATCTTTGTGCTTTACTTGCAAAAACCTCACAATTAATTTCCTTAATTTGAACAATGTACATTTCTGCT